CTTATTATATATATATATATATATATATATATAGTAATAAGTAAATACTAGTGACCCTGGTAGCATTCTGCCTTGGAATGATATATAGTAAGTGTGATGTGTGTTCAAACAGCACAAATTTGTGGCTGGGTTGTTATCTGGACTATACACAGGGGAGTAAGCAGGAGCAGGACCCTTCCTTAAGTCCTGGCATGGCTAATAGGACCATGTGTCTCGGTGCCCAGGAGTATGTAGGTGCAGCATGTCTGCCCCCTCTTTCTCTCCCACTGATGAGGTGAGTGGGCAGAAATGGGTGGGAAATGAGCAAAAACTTAACTCCAACTCCATTTGCTGGCCAGTATAGCTGAGATGGCATGTTGGGGGAGGTTTGTAATTTAGTGCCTTTAAAGGTTACTCTCCCCTGGACAAAGAGGAAGCAGGGAAGGAATTATGACTCAGAGACATGTCAATGTCCCCAAGGGATTCTCCTCAACTGGTGCAGTTTACACCCCCGAGACTCCTTGTTTAGGGCTGTCCCTAAAGTTACAACTTAGAACAAAGTGCCCAAGAAAGAGTGCCCAGCAGACTTCAATTCTTTGTCTCCATGGAACTGATAAAGCAGGGGCACCAGCTGTTCAAGCTTCCCCATGCATAGGATATTTGGGGTAGTCACAGAGTCTAACAAATGATCAAGACATTGTTACTATTAATGTCTCAGCCTTTCTATAAGGTTGCCAATTAGTGATAATTGTGGTGGTTGAATCTGCGATGTGGGCACATGGGCACTAGGAACAGTACTGAGACCATCAGATTTGTATCACTTAGGCCAACAAACAGCCAGCAAGTGGTAGCCACTTTTGGTGATGTACTGCGTAGGCCAAATTTGGACTCCAGAACTGATCAGACCACCCCAGCTACCCACTGACTGTCACTGAAAAGCAAGAGCTGGTATGTTATCAATATAAGTTTCAATAGGAAACAAGTTTCTTTACCTAAGACATTCATTCCATCTTTAAACTCCAGCCCCTTTTTAATGACCAGCTGGGCTTCTGGTGGTGCTTCGGTCATCGTCTCGTTCATCAGAGCAAAGACAGAGTCAGTGACGTTAGGTGGTTCTTCAGTTTGTGGGGGCACCAGCACTTTCTTAGTGACAGTTTGGATCTGAAGGAGTTACAAGATGGGATGGGAATGGAATCACAACTTGATTTAACACATACGGGGGATCAGAGAATAAAATAATACTCCCCTTTCCAAATAACCCCGGGCAGTGCGGTTTTTAGAGGATCAGACCATGCAATCCAACACCTCTAACCCCTCTTCCAAAAATCAGTTAGTTTATAATAGTTCCAAGTGTAATTAAGTCCTGGGATCCTATTCCAAAACAGCAACATAATGAGGATAGCAAACACCCTCTTCTTAATTGTTAATCCATAACATCTTACATATAGGCCCTTTCATCCAGAAGGATCAAAAAGTGCTTCATGCACTGTATTCTGTACATACCTTTGGAGTGAGTGATAGCAGCAATTCTGCATCAACAACACTACACAACAAAGACTTTTACCCAGGGAGGGCACCTCCGATCTAAGCTACCATGATAGTTTAGTTCAAAAACATGTTCTGATATTTCTAACACATCTCCTCCCATCATGTGACTCGTTCCTTTCTAGATTGGTTCAAAGTTCCTATCTATGAGAGTTCAAATAAAACTGGTATACATAGAGACCCTCCTGGCATGGACATCTTACCACTGCTACCTGGAAAAGCATCGGCTATTTCTATATGCAGCGATAGTAGGATCTCATTAATGATAGCACTCAGAAAAAACCTTGGTACGTAACAGCTGGATAAGTTACATTACATTAAAGTATTAGGGATACAGAGCCATTTCTGCACCTTATCCTGTTACAATTGTACCTGCAGCTTGTTGGGAGGGCTTATGTGGGATATATTGTGGATGATGCCCAGATTCAAAGCCTTAACATCTTATTTTACTCCTGTTTAAAAATGTGCCTCCTCTAAATCTAGAAAATAAAAATACTCAGCTAGAAAAGAACACTGACAATGTGTGAGAAACTGTTCAGCAGCCCTGAAGCCAGCCAACATTTGTTTTTTATCTGATTTCATTTTTATCTTGGGACTTTTATCATCCTATGATTTTTATGTGACATAGATGTAATGTCAAAGCTGTGTAGAGCTACAGAAATAAATAGGGGGGTGCTGATTCTGAGCACTCACTACTCCCATTGGAGTCAATGAAAGCTGAAGGTCCCCAGCACTTCCCAGGATCAGACCCATAATTACTAGTGATGAGGAGCTGACTTCAAAGTGCAGGTTCAGATAAGCATCTTGAAAGTAAAAAATACTTATCTGGACATTAGTCATCATTCTAGATCAGACATTTAAGTGAGATGGTGTAACACTTTTTAGAAGTACATAAACTCACAAACTAAGCATGGGTGGGTAGAGAAATAATGAGTTTCATTACAGGAAAATGAGGTTTACAAATCAAACTGTTTTTAAATCCAAAAAAAATAATTCAAGGGGTTCACAAAAGTCCCAAACTCAGCTAGGTTCAACTCTCCAACCAAGCTGTACTTTGCATGCAGCCTGAGTCCCTTTTCTGTCATCTACCAGGCAGCAAGGGAAACTCTCTCTCTCGCTGGTGGATCATTACAACTCAGTGCCACTGCCATTAACATTACAAAATAATTCTAAAGTACCTGGCTGGAGCTTTGCAAAAATACTTCTTGCATCCAAGGCCACCAGGACATGTTGAATGGCCACTAAGCTATTCCTGATAACCATAGGAAGGGAAAGCAGCCTTTGACACCTCCCAAACCAGGTGAGGAGGGGAAAGGACCACAACCTCCCCGGTAACCAAGAGGGAAAACAGGTAGAGGCCAACTCAAAAAGCCAATATGTGAAGGGTTACAGCTGAATAGTAAAAGGGGTGTGACTTTATGACAGAAGCTTTGGTGGAGGCTACTTTGGAATTTGTTCAGATAAAATATGGGAACACTAAAAAGCTCATTTGGCCCCCATCCAAAGCCCATTGAAGTCACTGGGAGTCTGTCCATTGACTTTGGTAGGCTTTGGACTGGGCCCATATGGGGCAATGTTAAAAAAGGGTCAGTGTGATAGCTGAGCCATAGGTGGCAAGATGAACTGTGTACACTAGCCATTAACACTATGCTCACTGAACAGGTCCAAGAAAAGTGTTGGATATTAGCAGCTTAATTTACCCTCACTCTCTTTCCCACTCATTCCCTGTCCCTACCTATGGATATTTGATCCATTTTCTACAGATCAAGGGCTGAATTCTCTTCCTCTCCATGATACAAGTAGGAGCAAATGAGGGAAAAACAGAACCCCACTTATTTTGAGGACACTTCTTAATTTTCAAATAAAACATTGTGGTTTTTAGCCAGCCATGATGTTGCCACATGACCTCTATCCCCATGCTGATTTGGGAATATTCTGAACATACTCTTTTTAAAACTCTGTTTTTATGTGAGATTGTGGGGAAGAAATAAAGCTCTCTGGGTCCTTTTGGCAGCTTAAGTCTGCCGCTCTCTGTATTCTCACTTTACTCCTCACCCAACCATCCCACCTGTAGCCACAGCTCTAGTTAACATTCTATTTCAAGTAGTACCATTTAGGAACATCTAATAATGGATTTGGCAACAAATCTTGTTTGGGTCAACAAAAATAGGATGCATGATTGCCAAACAATTTAACTTTAGGAAAAAGCATCTCACTCACAAGAAAGCTGCTGACAGAGGAACTGGGAAGCATATGTTCTTTGTAACCTTTTTTTTATCTCTTACCAATACTGTGTTAATTTAGTGCTGGTGAAATGTGATTAGACGCTGAAGTATTTAACTCCAGAATAGGCAACAGCAGTGTAAATCTCCTCCCCTCTCAGCCACTGCCCCCACAAGATGCCTTACATCTGACCTCGTGGAGCCCTCTATAGGCAGTTCAGCCATTTGGCTCCATTATCCATACAGAACTTGCTGTATGGGGCAGTGGGTTTTGTGATGTGGACACCTGATCACTGGGAACTGTCCTGAAACCACCAATACATTTCACAGAGGGCATTTGACAACCATCAGATCAGTCACTTAGCACGTGGGCTGAATTCAAATTTAACCAGCAGCTGAGAGGTGAAATGTTCAATGACTCATCAACTAGCCAGAACCCAGCATCTTTCTAGAGCTTTAAATATTGTGCATGAAGAATGAGATGATTTAAAAAGATTACTTAATAGTGAACTGACCTTTTTCAAGAACTGAAATCAGTAACAAAGTTACTACATAGTAAAAGAAAATAGTTATAAACTATTTCCCTTCTTAATTTACCTGCCCAAAGCTATCGTCCTGTATTCACCCCATCAGTAATTTAATGCCACTCACTAGGTGAAAGACAGAACTCTGAACACATATCTTGGAATCTAAAAAGGTCTTCTCATTTAAAAAGAATGTTGTGAGGAATAGGAGTATTTACCTGCTGGAAGCATGCTTGGACTAGATTTTCAGGGAACAGGTTCCGGATGAGATCCAAGAAAGCATCCAAACTGGATACTTCATCATTTTTCTTTCCTTCTCCCAGCTGCTTCTTGAGTTTTGGATTTCCTGGGTGAATGGCTAAAACCAGAATCACCCCTAGCACAGCAGCAATGATAGTAGTGGACATGTAATAGACCATGGCTCTCGTGCCCAATCGGCCACTAGCTTTAGCATCCAAACCTGACAGTCCTGTGTTTAAAGAAATATGCAGTGGGACTAGTTATTACATAGTTCATCAAATCACAAACCATCTGGAGACTCTGCCTATAGTTATTTCCATTTTCAGTGACTATCTTGAGATGTTTTTCCTCCCTTAGGAATTCTTCACAATGTAGATGGTGCCCTGAAGAACCTCCAATTTTTCTCCCATCTGAACAACACAAGTTTAAAGCTCCTGCTACCTGTGGAGAAGACTGAATTCAACTGAATCCTTAATTGAGGGGTGTTATTGAGAAACACTAATCATGTTCATTAGGGCAACGCAAACTTTGTAGTGATGTCCTTTTCCCCTTTATTTCCTGGAAGCTGGTCATTTCAAGGATGACACACAGCTTTGAGCAATCCATGCTGTCCGGACCTGTGCTGCCATTCATACAAATCCCACTTTAGGATGTGGGTAAGACAGTATATTAGGAAAATGGTGACATTCAAGAGAGTAGCACATGCTTATTTGGACATAAATTGGTTAGCAGCATCTACTACTGAAATCAATGAAGTTACACCAGAAATGGACTTGACCCACGAAATATGAATCAGCTATTATTAATTGCAAAAGATTCACTGCATCACATAATTATTCTTCCCATCTCACTAAAGATGAACCATGTAGTGTCTTTAGCTAGCATTTTAAAGCATTTATTGCTAATAGAGCTCACCTGTGATTAAACTGGATATAATTAAAGGTAGGATCAACATTTTTAACATCCTCATAAGGATATCTCCTGGGAAGGCTATTAACATGATGATGTCAGGATCAATAGGAGTTGCCAGGCGAAGAAGACCCCCACACAATGCACCCATGATGACACCTGAAAGGAAAATTAAAAAGGAAGGGTGGGGAAAGGAATCATAGAGTCATAGAAGTGTAGTACTGGAAGGGACCTCAACAGGTCATCTAGTCCAGTCCCCTGCACTCAAGGAAGGACTATGTAATAACGAGGCCATTCATGACAGGTGTACGTCTAACTGTTCTTAAAAACCTCCAGTGACAGAGATTCCAGAACCTCCCAAGGCAATTTATTCCAGTGCTTAACTACCCTGACAGGAAGTTTTTCCTAATGTCCAACCTAAACCTCCCTTGCTGCAATTTAAGTCTATTGCTTCTTGTCTTATCCTCAGAGGTTAACTAGAACAATTTTTCACCCTCCTTCTTGTAACAATATTTTATGTACTTGAAAATTGTTACCATGTCCCCCCTCAGTCTTCTCTTTTCCAGACTAAACCAATCCAGTTTTTTCAATCTTCCCTCACAGGTCATGTTTTCTAGACTTTTAATCATTTTTGTTGTTCTTCTCTGGACTTTCTTCAATTTGTCCACATCTTTCCTGAAACATGGTGCCCAGAACTGGACACAATACTCCAGTTGAGGCCTTATCAGCATGGAGTAGTGGAAACTTGAATCTTTATTCAACACACAAAAGAACAATCTTGAAGGAAAATGGTTTCAGAATGATCCTACTACATTCTGTCCAGTGTTATCTTTTATCTGACAATCCCACAGTAATTTGCAAATATTAATTAAGCCTTACAATGCCCTCAGAGGAAGGTAAGTGTAATTAGTATAATCACTGTGCAGATGGCTGAACTGAGGCACAGAGAGGTGAAGTGAATTACTCCAGACTATACTGACAGTCAAAGCCAAATACAATCAGTAGAAGAGTCAGAAATAGAACCCATCAGTCCTGAGTACCACTCCTCTGCTTTCACCACTAGAACAGCGCCATTTCTAAACCCCAATGGTATTAGTCTTACCAAGCATATATTTTGCTTTGAGCTCTCTTCCTACAGAAGAATTGGCAAACAATATCACAGCTCAGGGATAGATCTGATGGGAAAACTAGAAAAATTTAGTGATGGATATACATTCAACATTTTGTTACCAATATATTTAATACTAACATTGAGTTCTCTGAATGGATTGCTATTAGTATCTAGTTCACAAACACACAACAGAGCAGAAAAGAACCTAATATATTACCCCCTGTCAGGATTGTTCCCTACAGCGGAGTACAATACAGTACACCTTTTCATCTATTCCAATCTAAAATTGCTAAGGCAATGGGGCTGCCACTATTCCCCTTAAGAGACTTCTGTAATCCTGTACATGTCACTGTTAGATAACATTTTTCAATATACAGCCTAAACCTTTGATTGCTGAATTTCATCCCATTGTGCTTAGTCTCACTATTTTAGATCATCCTAAACAATTCCTTTGATTAGTTATTACTATTATTTATTTGTATTGCAATATTATCTTGGAGCCCTAGTCAGGGACCAGCACTCCATTTTTTCTAGGTGCTATGTAAACACAGAACAAAAAGACAGTCCCTACCCCAAATAGCTTACAATCTAAGCACAGCATTTACATCTTTAAAATACTTGAATTTCCCTTTGCACTGTTACTGCGTGTTTTCATCTCAGCTGTCTCTGTCTTTCTGATCTCAGGCCCCGTGTACAATCTCCGTTGTAATAAGATACCACAAGACAATCTGAATTGTGCTTTGAAAGTATTGTTGGAATAACTTATGGTTCTTTGGTGATATCAGGTTGGTTCAATGAAAAATAAATTTATTTTATCGTTGTGATCCTCTTGGGAGTGAATCAGGCATCTTTGAGGGACTGGTCCAAGCTCAAACTTCTTGTCCAATTTTAGCTATGGGAAGGTTAAAAGTTGTACTACTTTTGAACTAAAGCTGCAGTTGGTCATTTAAGCTATGGCAAAATGGACTGGGTCTGTGAATTCACTGCATTTGGAAAAAAGGAGTGGACATGGGGCCAGTGAACCACAAAAAGATGTCAAACTGATCCATATTTGGAGGGTACTAAAACCAGAAAGCACTATTTCAAACTAGGGCACTGAACCCAATGTCTGTGGCAAGGGAGACATAGGAGATAAAGCTTGAGTCTCAGACAGGCTGAGTGGAGGAAAGTGTAAAGGATCAGGTAAAGGGTTTGTTTTTATATTTTCAAAGAGATTGAAAAAAGAAAAAAATCTCAATTTTCTTTAGTGGTGATGAAAGACATTATTTAAGTCCTATTACATCCACAAAACACTTGCAGAATGGACATCAGCTCTGCAGGATTTCTCCATGCTATTCCATCCATGTGCCTTTTCCCTGAACTAACAGAACCATGCTTACTGGGGGAAAGGGTAAGTTCAGTCTCCGTTGCCCATTCATTCCTTGGCTGCCCAGCTGAGATTGCCTACAAGTTTGCCATTGCTGAACACAGGCACAGTCTGTGGTGTAAGATGGACAAACACAAAGAAACATAGGATGCATACAAGCAGAGTATATCTTACCAAATACAGTAAGAGACAGGAGCAGGTTTTTTCTGAGTGATTGGCAGAACCGCAGGCATACGTTCTTGGGCCTTGGCTCCACAGGGCTCAGGTGGCTTTCATGCATTCGCACTTCTACCTGCTTAGGCATATTGTTGGCACTAGAAGAAAAATGAGTACCAGGTAAGCAGCAATAGTACCAGGTGCCAGAAGTGGGAGAAAACAGTTGAGCTTTAAAAGTACCACTGTCACATGTGTCTGGCGACTCTGATTCTCATAGCAAGATTGGGAACATCCCAGCCTTTGTAGAGTTTGAGTCCCAAAAGGCACAACCAGTTCAGCTGAGGTGGTAGTCTGGTATTGTCAAGGAAACATACAAACATGGCCAAATACACAACAGCTAAAGTGCTGTGGCACCCTCAGTGGGGAAGGGGGGAAAGGCCTAAGCTCTGTCTATGGTGCCCTGTGATGTGCAGTGCCCAAGCAGCAGGGCTCTCAGTGTGCAGGGCGGATCCAGATGAATGATCACAAAGAGAAACATGCTGAGCAGTGATCCTCACAGTGGAGACAGCTGCAGCACATGATCTCTCTTGGAGGATGTGAGGCTCTATTTAACTGTCTGGGAGGAAGTTGCACACTAGCTATGTTGCGTTTGTGCTCAGAGAATAAGTAGCAACATCCTGCCCAGCTTCCAAATGGCTATGCTAGAGGGCATCCGTGCAAGACAAGACAGAATGTAGCCCTAAAAATATTCAAATTAAAAGCTAGGTCTACATAGGATATGCTTACACCACATGCAAAAGTTAGTACAGTGCCGGAGCCACTGACAGTGAGGCAGATTCCCCTTTCTGCTCTGGCCATTTTGCACTGTCTGAGTGATGCTAAGTGCCTGGATCCTTGTGGAGACTTTCTGTGGTAGGTAAAGCTAGCACAGCCAGCACAGGAAATGTGTCAGGGAGGCATGTGAAATGCCAAAGTGGGGGATCATGGTGGAGCAGAGCATTGCCATACCTAGGGTGACCAGATGTCCCGATTTTATAGGGACAGTCCCGATTTTTGGGCCTTTTTCTTATATAGACTCCCATGCCCCCCCTCCCCCCCTCCCGATCTTGCCCTCTTGCTGT